TTTACTTGTTTTAATGAAATTTTGATATAATTTTAATATATACTCCGCACAATTTTAATTTTATAATTTCATCCGAATTTTAATGAATTAAATTAAAAATAATTTTAATCAATACAGACAACAGAAGAGGCCAAGCTTGATTCTCTTTTTTTCGCCAGCGGTAGAAAAGTTACATCATGGTGTTCGAAAAGAATGACGTTACGATCCGATCTTCCCGTTTGTTTGATTTCGGTGAAAGTTCAAAAAAATATTTGTTTGTTCGATTGAACTTTGTCTTCGTTGATGAAGAAAAAAAATAAAGCGTTTAGTTGCCACTTGGACAACAACGAGAGCTACATCTTTGGCTCTCGACAATGAGTTGTTGTCCAAGATGTGCACGTGAAATCGCCATGCTCTAGCTTGAGAAAAAGGGTTTGGGGGTGCAATAGAGTATTATTATTATTGTTATTATTATTATTATTATTATTATTATTATTATTATTATTATTAAGTCACTACAAACATTATTAAACCATGTTTATAAAGCCATAACACTTTTGTATGAAATGTGCGGTATCAAAATAAGTTATCATACCTTCAAAAAAGAATTAAGTATAATAAATTTAATAAGTGTTGGTTATTTATAGTTTACATTTTTTTTGCTAAAGAAAAAAAGATCAGTCTCATCTGCGAGGTTTTCTTCAAACTCTTTTTTATGCTTAACATAATCGTCTCTCAGCACAGTTACAAACAATGTAATATAATTGAACTAAGATTTTACGCTTGGCACACTCTACCTTTTACCAACTGAGTAACATCTACCAGTATCTTTTTGTGAAAAAATAATCATAGTTTACTATACATACTCTCTCAGTTCTGAAAGGGATACCACTCTCACTATTATCGTCACTCGATATTTTTTTAATTTATATATTTTCATTGATAAGTTTATAAAATGAATATCTTTGTAACCTAATATTTTATACTCCCTCCGTCCCAAAAAGACCTTCCTGTTTCATTTTTTGCGCATCTCATAAAACACTTCTATCCCGGCTCAAATGCAAAAAAAACTTTCAAAACAACTTCTACTCACAATAAATGAAAATGTGGTAAATTTTAGGCATTTTAGATGTGTGTAGAAGTGTTTTATAGAATGTGCAAAAAATGAAACAGGAAGATCTTTTTGGGACGGAGGGAGTATAAAGTTTTATATCTTTTTAAACGATCTAATTAATATTTTTTATATCTATGCTACTTTATATGGAGTAAATAAAAAGATTTTTAAATGATAAATGATGCTGTAAATTACTTAACCGGGTAAACTATACTAGACCAGGTCTAGGATAGTTTACTTGATTCGGGAAGTAAAAAGGTAAAAACACACAGATGACCGGAAGGACTGTAGGCGGAAACACCTGTAGCCCAATTGATATTATAAATGTAGGAGAATACACGAGAGCTTTTAAAAGGGAGGTTAGAGAGAATGAATCTGGATCCCCTATTCCGAGAGTTACACAGGTATATATACTGAGCTGCAGGGGACAGACCGCCGCTTGCCCACGTTGAGGCACGTTCTTGGATGGTGGGATGTGATGGCGTTCGTCCTTTAGCTGCTTTGTCATTTTGCGAGGAGGATTTCTCCCTTGTCAGATAGCGCCTTGGATGGATCGTCGAAGGATCTCCAACGATCCTCTACTGATCTGGGTTACGGTCCAAACCCTTTTGGACTTTTCTATGCCGATCTTTCCAACCCTAAAAACCGTACCGAGTAGTTTCTAAGGGATGAGTTGGCTGAAATCGGGGAATGAATCAAGTGATATCATGGTTTGACCAGTATGCTATCCGAAGTATACCGGTCAACTTTCTATTCAACTAGTTATCCTTTTACTGACGATTCAGATATCTCTTTTAGGGATAACTCCTTTGACCGGTCAAATATCTGGACGTTACTTTTGATTGGTTTTGGGTGGAATACACCCATCACTAAAAGTTCAAACATTGTTGGGAGTTGGATATCTCATTTTCGACAGGGGCCAGTAAATGCACAAACAACAACCCAAGTTAAATAGTGTACGGCGTAAATCTACAGAGATGCTAGAGAGTGATGTGACGTTACCTGCAGGTTGTTTAATTTCCATGTTCTCATTTACTCCCTCCCTCCTACTGTCTTTGTACATTTACCTTTAAGTACACCATCCAATGCACTTCTTTAATCCATTTTATTTTGTAATTTGTATATTAAAAAGTTATAAAAATTATATATTAATAATCTATATGTTAAGACGAATCAAACAAGATCACACATGACTATTTTTAGGCTTACACATTGAGAGAATTTGATGAGTCAAATTGCTTAGATGAACAGTTCCAAAAGTCAAAACTGGACAAAAACAATGGGACGGAGGTAGTATATGGTGGATCGAAAATACTACCCCACCCACTTTATTTTCAATTTAATTTATTTGATTGTATATGTAAAATTAAAAAATAAAATTTATATATTTAAAACTATATCATAAGTTTTACAAAATGAGAACTGATAATACTATATTATTTTATCAAATAACTAACGAAAATAGGTAAAGAAATCGATTTAAGTTTGACATTATGAAATATCTTACTTTTTGATATTCCCTCCGTCCCACTTTAGATTACAATATTCCACTTTTGTTGAAATTAAAGAAGAGTCAAATCAAATTCTTTTTCCCCAAATTACCCCCCAAATCCGCCAAGTTTCCTTCCCACTCACATGGATAAATAGTATGTAAATAGTGTAGGATTGTGAGGGTAAAAGAGTCAATTTTTGTAAAGTTATTGACTTTGTAATTCTTTTTGGAACAAAAATGTGAGGGAATATTGTAATCTATTTCGGGACGGAGGGAGTATCATTTTACTAGTAGAAATATATCTTTTTTTGATACTCCCTCCGTCTCTAAATATTTGCCACACTTGTATTTCCAAAATAAAATATCAAATTTTTTCAATTCATTTTATTTACATATTGGTATAGAAATATACCCCCTCCATTTCTTTAAACCCTTCCACTTTTGAGTTTGGGCAAAAATAAGGAAAGTGTAATTTTGGTTGACTTTCCAATTTTGTCTCTGATGTGATAGTTTTGTTGTTAGTGAAAAAATAGGATGTGATAAGTAGGGTATGAAAAAATAAGAGTAAAAGTGGTTTTTTAATAGAAAGTGAAAGTGTTTTAAAAATTCAAAAAAAATGAATGGGGAAGAGTTTTATGAAACGGATAGAGTAAAATAAAATTTACATATAAAAAAAGTACATGAAAAGTTCTTCGAAATAAGAAGTGTCAAGAAAATTTTATTTTATCAAATGACCAATGAAAACGTAGAAATAAACAAAAGTTCCTGCAACTACTGAAGAAGCAAACGTTGTAAATAATTTGGGACGAAGGGAGTATCATTTTATTTACAAAACGATATATCGATAAGAAATAAAAATTACTTGTACATATTAAAAAATTATGTCAAAAGTTTTACAAAACTGTTGGTGACAAGAATATTTTATTTTATCAAATACTTAATGAATTTCATAAACAAATAAAGTTATCGAGAGGAGAGAAAAAAAATTGCAATCAAATCGGGGACGGAGGGATTATATGTGTGTGTGTGTATATATATATAATCATTTTCTAAATATACTTTAGCTTTAGATCACAAGTTAATACCGACATGACAGAAGATTAAAAAAGAATTAATTGTGGAAAGATACCTAAAAAAGACCAATGGTATAATAATTGATAGGAGTAATAGATGACTAAATATGGAAATCACCATATTTTAAAGGACTAATGAATAAATTTACTCATTTTAATACTACTTTCTAAATTAAAAGATTTTTAAAATATTATGTTTTACTCGGTATTTTGTTATACTCCGTATATGTTATGCCTTTTGGTGTGGTAGAGAGGGAATATATGTGAATTATATTTTATTTTATTTGAGTATTAAGTTTCTGTATAAAATCTTACGAGTAAGAAGCATTAGAAGGTGATGGCTGCTTTACAAATGTGGGAGTCCTTTGATATCTAAACTCAAAGCCAACACTTCAACCATTCACATAGGAGGATGAACACTGCTTTATTTAAGAATGAGTATCACTTTGTTTCAGAATAAACACCACGTATTTCGTAAATAAATATTTTAATTGTATCAAACAAATATGTGAAAATGAGTACTACATTATTTCAAGTGAACACTTATGTTTGTGCGAGAATGAGAACTACCTTACTTCAAAATGGGTATTACCCAGATACTTCTGGTATAACCTACTGAACCATACACACTCTCGGTGAAGATATAATGAGGATGCAATTTTGTATACATTTTGGTGTACCTCAAACATATTTTTTGTACATTTAAAAAACAAAAAGAAAAAGAACTAAAGTAAGAATTTGGGAGGAAACACTACATTATGAGTAAAATATAGAAAAAATATTAAACTAAGAATTCAATATTTTTTATCTTTAAAATAAAAGTTACAATATCAATAATATCAATCTTTAGTAACAGAAAAATATTCCCTACTATAAAATACCAATATAAAATTCTATATTATGACAATGCAACTTTTGTTTTGGAAACAAAAATAAACTCGGTCTTTAATGATTTACACAATTTATTATTCAAGAATCGCTAGAATTTTTTTATTTGTATATTTTTATTGACTATGTGATTAAATAAAATATTTTTTAAATATGTATGTTTTATTTTTTAGAATTTTGTAGAATTTTTTATATATTTTTTAAATATGTATGTTTTATTTTTTAAATACCTTGTTTTGTAGAATTTTTTTTATATTTTTTTAAATATGTATGTTTTATTTTTTATTCTTATATTAATTTTTAAATAAAATAAATTTAAAATTTCTATTCGTTTAGCATAAAAAGTAAATAATTTAGGAACACAAAGAATAAATTTTTTTATTTTGATAATTTCTCTGTTTTATTTTTTCAGTCTTTTTAAAGAATGGGTGGTTTTCACTACGGAACGGAAACCAGTGCCAATGCCATCAGGAAGGTTTCTGAACTTGATGTTCAGCGGAGAGATGGAAAATTAGGGTTTTGGTTGTCGCCCTCAATCCACCGTCAACAACCGTCCTGCGCCACTCGCCGTTCTCTGAAATTCAATCTGAAATGTCGATTAGACAGGTCCCGATAACCAAACTATTCATATATCTGGTCTCCGCTAAGCACCTCTCGCGAACACCAGCCGCCGCCGCCAGATTCTCAAGTGCTTCATCGACGGCGCCATTTATTCCGATCTTCCAATTCGGCAATGGTCGCGGGTACCACGACGGGCGGCCCAGAGGGCCATTGTGGAGAGGGAAGAAGATGATTGGGAAGGAGGCTCTGTTCGCGATACAAGGCGTGAAGAGATTCAAAGACGACGAAGAGAAGCTCGACAAGTTCGTGAAAACCCACGTGCTCCGGCTCCTGAAAATGGACATGATTGCCGTGCTCAACGAGCTCGAACGCCAGGAGGAGGTTTCTCTCGCAGTCAAGGTAAAAAAATCAAAATTTTCTGTTTGAATCCGCCGCAATAGCTGGTTGATTTTCAGATTTGACAATGGAAGTATGTGTTACTTCATCAGATTTTTAATGTGATCCGGAAAGAAGATTGGTACACACCTGACGTTTATCTGTATAAGGACTTGATAATTGCACTGGCGAGACGGAGAAAGATGGAAGAAGCAATGAAGTTGTGGGAGAGCATGAGGAAAGAAGATTTATTTCCCGATTCACAGACATATTCTGAGGTGATTAGTGGGTTCTTGAGGGATGGATCTCCTGCTGACGCGATGAATTTGTACGAGGAAATGAAGAAATCCCCATACCCTCCAGAGCAGATGCCTTTCAGGATTTTGCTGAAGGGGCTTTTGCCACATCCCCTGCTCAGGAATAGGGTCAAACAAGACATTGAGGAGATTTTCCCTGAGCAGCGCGTTTATGATCCTCCCGAAGAGATTTTTGGATTAGGCTGATCAAGGTATGCATGTACGTATGTTTGCTCAATCTTGAATCCATTGTATCATTTCCTTCCAGTAAACGAATGCAAAACTGTACTCAAGATAATGATACTTCTATGAATTTGAACTCGCCAAACAACCTACTTTTATGCTCTAGAGAGGAAGTAGCAACAATAAGAGCCTGGTTGGTAGCTTGTTTTCAGCTAATTCTACTTGTACTAGAACAAGTAACTTATTTATTTTTTTATTCGGCCGAAACGGATCACACCAAATGCTTTTTTACTCGGTAACACTAATATTTACTTGATAGTTTTATACCCACAAACTCAACCTGGCATGTGCTTGTTAATATTCCCTGCTAACAGCTAATTATTAGTAATATCTTTACTTTTGAAATAGGATGGAATTATTTTTGTTGCACTTTAATCTTAACACACAACTAGACAATTCGTTTATGCATCTACATGTTGGGGCTACAGCCTGTGGTAATTGGAGGTAACATAATCTTTTGGGGTTTTGTTGTTTGTTAGGGGCTTTTTCGGAAGCAGCCTCTCGACGTATTGGAGTAGAGGTATGGTATGCATTCATCTTGCCCTCAGACGACACTCTTGACTGTGATACAGTGAGTCTGTTTGGCTGTGATGTATCCCAACCTTTCATTTCTCAGTAGTGACAATCTTTTCCCAGTTTGTAGGAAAGTAATGGCAAACTTATTCAAACCTAACCGAGGCAGTTTGTACTTTGTAGCACCCCCAGATTTGGGAGAGAAGGGAGGGGGCGTTCCAAGTGTCTGGTTTCTACACGGCCAAAAAAACGCGTGCAGAAATCAACTGAATATTTGTTAGTTTCCCAACTTTTCTGCTTCTCTAGCCAGCAGCCCCTCAGGGGAGGTTTATTTATTAATCAAAGTTTGTGACAAGTGACTGGCAAGAATGCCTAAACTTTAGGTTCCACCCGGACGGATTACGGGGGTCTAAGGTGACTTTGTTTTCTTTGAAAAAAATCTACACCATCAGGAATCGAACCCTAAACTTTAGGCCCAAGCTCTAGCATTTCAATCCAACTGCACTACTAGAGTTGGTTGATTTTTTTTTGTGTATAACTACTTTTATATATTCATTGCACAACCTTCATTTTAGGATGGCACCTAACTAATGTATATTTGTAAAAAACTCTCAAAATTTTAACAAGATAGTTACATTAAAAAAATAGAGATATGTTTGTGTAAGGTTCTTAGTTTAAGAATTTTCAAAATAATTTTTTATAATAAAGGAATAAACATTATTTTTTGTATTTTTTTTATTTCAATAAATTTAAAATTCTAAAACATTAATAAAGGTTATAAAAATTTGAAAGTGTGAAAGAGTACTATATGAGAAATGGTATTAAAAACTAGGTGGAGAAGAAAAAAAGAAACTTAAATACTTTTATTGTGTAAAAATATGTATATTAATTTATTAAAAAAATTAATATATTTAAAATAGTTTTATTTTAATTACAATTGACCGAGTCGTTGACCCGGTTCAACCCGGTCCGACCGGTTAACTGTTGACCCAAATGCTCGTAGCTAATAAGTTTGAGACTTAATTACATATTACAACCACATCAAAGAAAATACAATTTCTAATTTGTAACTATTTATATTTTGATAGAACATTTTATATCTTGACGTGAATACTATCCCAACAAATTCATTGGAGCACTAATATTTTAATATTTTTAGAATCAATGTGGGAGAGAAGAATAGTTGATTCTTAATATTTTAAAATTAAAATTTTTAATAATAGAGATTTAGGATCACTAATTTAAGATTTTGTTTTTTAATAATGCAAGAAAGAATAATAATTTTTTATAATTATTACGGGGGGGGGGGGGGGGGGGGNAGTATTTTTCCAGTTTTGACTTTTCCGATTAATTACTTTCAACATTTGACTTATAATTGAATAAAATATACATTATATATTAAGCAGATAAAATAATATTTTGAAAATGAATGATATAAGAAATAAAATAAAACTAGTTTTATCAATACCTAATATCATTTTTATTTAATTTGAGGTCAAAATTTATCAATTTTGACAAAATAAAAATAAAAAATGAACAAAAATACTCTGGGACAGAGGGAGTGTATAATTTGTAGGTCGGTAATTTAGGTTTTTTATATTAATGTGAGGAAAAATACTCATTGGATCACTAATACTTTTTGTATTGATATATTTTTGAATTTATACAGAGAAAAATTATAGATTTGTAGAAATACATCAAACCTAGATCATTTATATTTGACCTTTAAATAATTTGTCAAATAAAAATCAAGATCCATATTGTAGAATTGAAAAAAAAATTTGTCCGAACCCGTGCGTTGCACGGGTAGAAATACTAGTTGTAAGAAATTTAGATCACATTCTTTAAACTATGACAGGTCTTTGAAGGGATTATACACGAGCTTGGTTGGGTTAAGTCCATGAAGATTTTAATGGAACCTCGAGCAAATAGGAATGGTCCAGTTTGAACGGTGTACTACATTGACAAAAAAAAGGAATCGTATCGAGCCCAACTCATTTTAAATGTCCGCTTCCGATAAGTGGTTCCCCAGGGCAATTTCATCCGCTTTGACCGAAATGTATGGCGCAAAATGGAACATTATTACGGAGTATTTCTTTCTCAATATATTCATTTGGTTTACTTTTTGTTAAGTTAAAATGAATGTACTTTGATAAATAATTAAATAAAAATGAAAATGTATGTTAATATGAAAATCATTTTATTAAATGTATCTTAGAAATGCTTTCATAAAATTATACTCCGTGTCATTACATCAATATTGATGAAAATTCATCCGCTTTGACCGAATTCTACCCAACCTAAAGAAATACACTAAGACAAAAAGTGTTTCATATTAGCCACGTACTCCTTCATCTCAAATTTATCATCTCAATTTCATTTCACCAAATTTGAGAAAAATATTACTCCCTCCGTCCCCCTGTATTTGTCCACTTTCATTTTTGTACACCATCCAATGCACTTCTTTAATCCATTTTATCTTGTAATTTGTATATTAAAAAATTATAAAAATTATATATTAATAATCTATATGTTAAGACAAATCAAACAAGATCACACATGACTATATTTAGGCTTACACATTGAGAGAATTTGATGAGTCAAATTGTTTAGATGAACAGTTCCAAAAGTCAAATGAGGACAAATACAGAGGGACGGAGGGAGTAAAAAATAAAAAGAATGAGTGGTGGAAATTTTATTATAGGAGATATAGATAATTATGAACCACATTTTCGTTATTTTATTAAGATTATAAACAAGCGAAACAATTATTTTGTGAAACACTAAAAAAGTAAAACAATTCATTCGAAATGATTAGAGTATTATGGAGTATTATTAACTACGAGTACTATTTACTCCGTATAATCTTAAAGGAGCAAGCCAGTCTAAGTATTTTGACTTTAAAATCAAAATTTGACTTTGAAGTCAAAATTTGACTCTCAAGTCAAAATTTACTTGGAGGGACAGGGGGCAATTGAAGGGGTGAGGGGTGTTTGGGTTGGGGCAGGGTGGGGCGATTTACCGGGGTAAAACATTTAGGAACCAACCCCAACATATAAAATGGATTTCCCGACTCCCCAAGCCGTTTTTATTTAAAGAAAAACAAAACCAAACCAATTGGGTCCAGATTACCCACAGTTTCAAGCCCGTTTAACCCACGCCTATGTCCAGATTACCCACAATTAAAATAGATTTACCCCACCACCAAAAAATTACATTTACTGTACGTATAACCTTTCGATGATTTTATCACACACCACACCATTATCATTACTCAACAAATAAGGCAAAATTGGAAATAAAATATAGAACAAATATTTAAATAAACAATCAAGTCAAACTAGGAAAGTTACTGAGTCTTCTTTCAGCACAAAATTTTTAACAGGCAGCCTCAAAACAGGACACTGTTTGCAATTTCATGTATACATCAAGCAGCAGATTCTTCTTACCTCTGGTTAAATTGTTGCGGATGTTCTACTCAAATATTGCCTGCGCTTCAATTATGCTGTGCTGCCTGAAATTCACAAAAACAAACAAATATTACCCCAGTACTTCAAAACTTCAAAAGCTCCCGCCCATTGCGGGAGGAGGGGTGACGGGGGGGGGGGGGGATGTATGTAGCCTGACCCCTATGATAAAACACAGAGTGGCTATTTCCGGATGACTCATAACGAGCGTCAAAAGTTGCATTGACTAATCGTTACTCCACTGTCAAAGAAGCATAGATAGTTTAAGAGCCATTTGCTTTATTCCATCTTATTACTCCAAAGCCAATAGTGAATATTTGGCTCCATCGGAGAAGATGAAAGTGCTGGCTGGAAATCACATGAAAAAAACCCCTTGAAACCTCACATTCTATGTTCTACTGTACTTAATCGATGTTTGTAAACAGCCATATGCACCCGTACGAAGACTATTTCATGTTAGACGGAATTTAAGTTGAATAAGCAAGAAAATAAAAAGAAAAAAAACCACGAAGAGACCAATGGGCGATGACTACAAAGTTAAAGTCATGTTTCTACTTTTGGCACACCTAATACCCTAAAAAGACTAATACCCATACTTATTCCACCCACCTTTCCTACCCACTCTCATCACTTCCTCATACTCATTACCTTTTCAGGAGCAATATGGGAAGGACAATAATCTCAATATACCTTTATTATATGCCTTAATATGGTGTGAAGTCAATTTGTAACTTTAATATTGGTACAGAGGGAGTATAATTTATTTCAATTGATACATAGGATGTATTTACTTAAGTACTTGTTACAAAATAAAATTGTTAAGTTACTTTCATAATAAAAAACCTTTTTTTTTGCAAAAAAAAACACAGTATATCACCAGGCAAAGGTTGAAAATGTTTGACTAAAGAAAATCGAATGTGACCTATTAGATAGAGGTAAGTAAAATGTAGATTGTAGAGCAACAGAAGATTAGACTTACTGGTCATCCTTAGTGATGCGATAGTACTTCTCTGCATGCTGCCGTTGACCAATGAGTTGTGCAAACCGCTCATCATGAGTGATCACAATCAATTGAAAATTCTCTTGTCCCTTCCTGTCCTCCATGATCCTGTGGTTGGTCACCAAGTGAGTACACTCCTAACCACGAATTTTCCTCACCCCAAAAATGCAAACACGTAGATAGATATACTAGCACTACCTTACAAGTGCTGCAGCAAGACTTTCAGAGTTGGGGCCATCTAGGTTTGTTGTAGGTTCATCAAGTGCCAGTATCCCACAGTGCAAGCAAAAAGTTTCAGCTAATGCCAACCGTATTATAAGTGATGCAAGCACCTGATGGTTATAATTATCATCATTCCCGAAACCCAATATACTTGGAGGATAAGTAAAAAAGATACACACACACACACCTACATACATAACACACACACACACACAAGGAAACACTTGGAAGATAGCTGAAGTACAGAAGGATATATGTCCAGTTTGGTTTACAAAACCTAAGATAAATAATATGAATTACCTTTTGGCCGGCACTACACCTCCCTCGCATTTCAAGTTCTGTTTCTCCAGTTTGCATCAATAACTAAAAAAAGTTCAGCTCCAATGGTTATTGGGTGACATACCATGCATTCAAAAATGACGTAAATCATAGTTATCACGGCGCCAAGGCGAGGCGCGGCGCCAATGTATCGCCATGACGCCTAGGCGAGCGCCTAGGCGACGATTAGGCGACCAATAATATATATATGTGTGTGTGTGTGTGTGTGTGTGTACATTATTATATTATATTATATTATATTATATTATATGAAAACACTAATAGAAGACATCTTCTAATTAAAGAAAATATACGGTAAAACATAACAAATATAGGGTTAATTTTAAAGGAAAATAGGAAGTGCTAGTGGCTGGGAATTTAAGAGAAAGTGAAAAGCCTAAATACAAAGTCAAAAGTCATACGGGAATAAGGGAATAGTGAGTCGCTTGGAATTCCGTCAATTGAAGGGTCGGGTTATCGGGTCGGCTACATCTTTTCTCGGCTCTCTTGCATCGCAAACCCTAAGTCGATCGTATGGTCTTCTTCGCCTTTCAGATCGCAAACCCTAAGTCGATATCTAGATCTGGAATTCGACTGTTCACGGCGACAAAGGCGCTGCGCCAGGATGCCAAGTCGTCGGAAAAGCGACGCCTAGGCGAGGAATTGAAAGTTAGGCGAGTCGAATCATCAAGGCGAGATCTAGAGGGCGCCGCAACGCCTAGGCGACGCCGTGATAACTATGACGTAAATGCAAACTACATAGACTATGTATGCTTTAATATGCTCAATGTGAATGCTTTTCTACACATGTTAGGGGACAAGAACTTACATAAATGTAGTATCTCTATTCAACAGTCTACGCCCACAAGAAACTGTTTATCTTTTAATCATTAGTTGAAGGCAAAGGCGGGAGAAAGGTGAATGCATTTTAAACAGACTTAGGAGGCTTTCAAAGGTGGGAGAGAGGTGAATGCAATTACAACTTTGCTAATAATTTGCTTTTATTTGCTTTCACTCATATATATTTGTTTAATGATAACATTTTATTCATACAACTTTGCTAATAATTTATTAATTTTAGTTTATATTTTTACTAATTAACTTGAAAACTGCATGTACATAAATTTTTAGTTTAATCTTTTTTGTAAAACAAATTGCTTAAATGTCGGCCTCAAGATTCGAAAATTTAAGTTTGTTCCCTACAACCAATATATTGTACCATGTCATGGTAGACTTTCTTGGAAACAACCTCTACTTTTAGTAGAGATCATGGTTGTCAAGTCGTCGCCTAGGCCACGACGCCGACTAGTCGTCCGGGCAGTTTTGCCATGGCGATTTGCTCTTCGACTAGCGCCTAGGGCCGACTAGGCTATTAAGCGTGCAAAGCGTTGCTTAGGCGTGATTAGGCCACGCCTAATCGGTGAAAGAAATGGGCCGAATTTGTCCTAATCCAATTGACCCGACCCGACCCAAATTTCATTAATTTTTAATTTTTTTAATAAAACACTGCCTCCTTCGACGCAATGCATCCACAATCGACAGTCTGGAGGGTCGCGACTCTAGTCTTCCAGTTCCAGCGTGACTTCCAGGCTTCCAGCGACTCTCCTCCATCAGCAATTCTCCTCCATCAGCGACTCTCCTGACTCTCCTCCATGGGTAAGATTTCTCAATGTTTACTTTGTTTTCATATACTCTTTATTTGATTTAATTTTCATTGATTTGGTTCATTAAACTATAAAGTATAATATACTTTAAAATTTTCAGTTTTCTTCTGTTTTCTTAATAGTTCTGTTTTTTTTCTGATTTCATTTAATATTTTAATTTTTTTCTTATTCTAGTATTTAAGTTTTTTTTTCAGTTTAATATTTCAATTTTTTTTCTGAATTCAGTTAATATTTTGGTTTTGTATTTCTTATTTTAATATTTTATGGTATTTTGTCATATATATATATATATATATATATATATATATATATATATATATATATATATATATATATATATTCATGTTGGGTTAATGTAGATATATATAATGTTAAAATTTTCAATACTAATTGTGATTTGTCGACTAGTCTACGATTAGTCTATGACTAGTCGCCTAGTCCACTAGTCTCCCCGTCACCGACTTGACTCGACTTGTCGACTTAACAACCATGGTAGAGATAAGGTCTGTGTACACATACCCTCCCCCGACCATGCTTTTGTGGGATTGTACTGGGTTGTTGTTTGTCATAGTAGACTTTGTGTATGGATAAATTATGCTATTAATAATGTTCTATCTCTAGTAATATTTTATGCACATCTCACTATCTTAGTACTTTAAAATGAGGCTTACGCCTCAATATGCCTCTAGGCTTACACAATATGGCAAAACACCATGGCGAAAAAGCGCCTCAAAATTGCAATACGCCATTTCGAACATTGTACAGGAAGTCTTTCTTTCTCACTCTATTGTCAGCTTTCTAGATGCTTCACACCCTCTGGCCTCTCTGATATTATAGAATAAATAAAAAATAAAACAAATACAATGGGAATAATAAGCGAGATTTAAGTACCTTGTAGCTATAAGATCGAGTGCCAGAAACTTCAGAATCCGAATGAATTCTTATGTAATCTATATCCTGTCCCCTGTAAGTCTGCTGCCACAGCTCACGAATAATTTTATTTATCTCTTCCATCTTCATTGTGTGAAATCGCATGAGGGCCCTGAAATGACAAACCAAAGAAAAAGGTAAATAATAGTTCAACAACAAAAGTAAAGGCAGTTCTACCGTACACGGTACAACCATAGGTATAAGAACGCCGCACAACCATTTTTTAAAGGAAACTTATATGCTCATTAATCAGAAATGAATTGCTCACTAGATGGAAGTTATGTGCATTGTAACAGCAAATGTGTTCATCAGTGTACTATGACTACACAAAAACTTTTATGCTCACTAACCAGAAAAGAATTGCTCACAATCTCGAAGCAGATGTACAATACTCTTGTGTCTACGTGTCTAAGATAGAGTTTCCGCAAAGTAATTAGCGATAAATACCAAGGTAATTGAGTATAATAATAAAATTGCAACCACCACCACATAGCATGGATGGTAGCTATAGAACATTGTTTTTATGTCTCACTTCCATGAACATCAGAGAGGACCTCAAAGAATCTAAAAGATTGTGTGATATGTTAAGGCCTATAAAATGTATAGCATCTCTAAATTAGAAACACTTATTATACAATTTCGAAAGACCTAATAAAATTGTAGAAAGTAGCCAAGAATCAATGTCACACATAGAAACATTGACAAATAAAAATACTAAAAGTTCAAGAACAAAAATAGCTACTTGCAAAAACAAAAAAAAACATGTTCTTTCACACAATAAATACCTCCTTTATGGATGAAACAAAAGTACAGAACTGCATGAAAAAACATGGAAGCCCAGCGATTTAAAAAACTGAAGCGGGCTAGAGAAACAAAAAGAAAATCTGAGAAGCTACTAGTGCAGTAGTGCCAAGAGAAGAAAAAAGAGAAGTCCCAGCAGTTAAAAAAACGATCGATTTAAAAATGAGAAAAAATATATGAAAAGTAACCTGAAATAGAAGAAACACAATCATTAAAGGGTGGAAGACTCGCAAGTCGCCGAAGTCCAAGAAGCGGAAGGAGAGAGACGCAAAGTTGAACGGTGAAAAGTGAGTTAAGTAGTCAACCCTAGTCTTAATGTAATAAAATAAAAAACTCTGGGTTTGCGATGCGCGCCTTTACCGCCTTATAGCGCATCAGATCGCATCGAAAAATGCAATGATGCGCGGTTATGCACGCGCCTCCTGTACATTGCCTGCATCACACTGTCTGATGCACAGAACCATACGCCTCGTGCGCATCGCGCCTCAGGCGCGCTTTTCACAACTATGTTCAAGAAGCACCCAGGATACGTCAACCCGGAAAATGGTGATCGTCACAAAACCAGCCAGTTATCTCCTAACCCAGAAAACAGTAAAACCCAGTAAAATCTTCTATCCGACACTAACTGGCCATGTAATCCCCTCCCTGATTATGTTATGTCTAAGCCTCTTTGATAAGTTAAAATCCTACCTTCACAAAGAATCTCAAAGATTGTGTGATATGTTAAGGCCTCTGGTGTTAAATTAAACAATACAACCAAAGTTAATCCAAAGATGTATAAATCATATTGAGAATATTCCCAATCTGAAAATTATTATTAACTATATTTTGGTGCATGATTTATGTATACAACACTTATTAAAAACATTATATTTAACCTAGTACATACTCCGTAATTGTATATACATTATTTTTTATTTTATTGGATTAATATTGATCGGGTTGACCTGTGATGCCAATCACTTGGTTAGGTCTGACAACATAGGTTCATAACAAATTACAACTCAAATACCCATGGAGCTAAAAGAGTTGTTTTTTACTCCATTTCCCTTGTTTCTTACTTCTATGAAATCTTGGGAGGTAAATGGAACAATGCATCAAGGGTCTAATGGCAAAATCCTCTTTGTTTATACAATGGTAAGGTTGCGCACATCTGGACCCCAACAGAATTGGAATTATATTGGGTGTGTTGTTGTCGGCTAGCATTTACAATTGAATGAAAAAACAGACTATGAAGCTTACTTATCAAGGGCATTGTAGTATCTATCCAGATCCTTGTTTGCCATCTCAGTTGTCTGCCAAAGAACAAAAATTTCTTATGCACTGCATAGAGTGTTGAGATTATTTATAAATACATACAAATAACTCAAATTAAGTTTTGAAGTACCTTTAGCTGGATCATCTGATCAAAATAACGGTTGTCTATATCTTTGTATTGTGCTTGTTTAAGATCATTTTCGTATTTGGATAAATTCCTCACATAAACAGAGAGAGTACCATGGCATTTGTTTAACTGCAAATAAAAAAAGCAAATGACTGTCTAAAATAGACAAACATGGTAAGATGTATATTTTCTGAATCCCACTTTATGAGAATAATGTGTAAAACAAAGTTGAAAGATGGAAAAGGGGGCTAACTGTTCCCTAGGCCCTAACTATATACCTTTAGCAGCCAATAAAAACCAGAAGAAACCAAATAGAAGAGACATCATGCCCAAAAAATGTTAACAAAATGTGGGTAGGAGTTGCTTTCAGAAACAATTTCTCTGTGGAACCATGAATTTGCAGTTGGTGCTTTTCAAGTAATCAATTATTGCAAAAAAATGGCTTAGCCATAACACACTTTCAAGCAATTCTTTGAACTCTCAAACGAATTTAAAACCAATAGTTAATAATTTGTCCAAAGCAAAACAAAAATATTGGAAACTAAGGATTCTTCAGAAACCAAATAATGAAATTCAAATGTGTTCATGTTAATTGCCCAAGTGAATAATGATGCTAAATGTGTCCACATTAATTGCCCAAGTAGATAATGATGTAATGGCCTTGACTAGCTACGAACCATATAGCGCATGACAGTAAATCAGCACTCAACAGTGTACTATACCTTTGAAAGAAGGCTCTCTCGCTCTTGCAAAAGCCTTGCATTCTCAGCCTGGACCTTGGAAAAACCACCAAGATTCTTCACTTCATTTTCCAACAATTCAATTTCACCACCAAGTCTAGAAACATCAGCCTTTGTTTTCCTATAATTCAAGTTATCCTCAATGTTGCGTCTCAACGGGTCCTGATTCATCATCAACTCATTGCTTTTGGTCAGTTCTTCTGATATTTCCTGCAACCTGGACTCACAGTTTTGAAGTTGAGATTCAGAGAGATTTTGCTTTTCCCGCAGCTCCTTCAACCTCTCACCTTTCTTTTGAGTATAATAGCTGCATGGAGAAACAGTCAATTTTCATATTGAAAAGAATAATCTATCTTGTATCATGTAAAAAACAAAAATTGCGTACTCTTCTATTTTAGTAATCACCACGTCCAGTGCCTTTATTTCAAGTTCAAAGTTTGAACAAACTTTTGACTGCTTGTAATGCTCGTTATCAACTTTTGATTTCAAATCATTGTACTCATCGTGCAATTTGTCTTTTTCCTTTGACAAAGGACCTAGAGCCTCTCGCAAATGCTGAAAATTCCACACGCCAACATTATCAACCATTTGTCCGAAATATACTCAAGTCCCATTATTTTCTTCTCATCTTCTGTATTGATTGACCCAAAATATTCTTCCCGCTTTCTTTAAAAGAAAGAGTTGTGTGGTCGATATTGTTTCTTCCATTCTTAATAAGTGCCAAGTCAAAAAATGAAAGAAAATTTTGGAGAGTAATACTACTTTTATTTATTATATTATCATATCATAACATATAAAACAATTTCATGTCAAAAAATAACCAAAGCAAGTGAAGAAATGCTTCTCAACAGAACCTTGACCATATGGTTGCCTTGTCATCCTTGAATTTATAATCCGGTTGATGGCCATTAAATGACTATTTCCAATTTTTTTAAAAAAATACTTCATCCATTCTTTTTTAAATGTCCATGGCTCCATGCTGGTTTTCCATTCGGAACTTCAACTAACTATATACCATAATACACAATGAGTTAATTTAAATATAAGAAGTAAACATTAATATTTGCAGATCCTTTAGGTAAATCTGAAGAGTAAGGAGTGGGAATTTCAACCCCTGAATTCCATTCCTCTTCAATAAAGCATTATAACCTTTGATGAAAAACTCAGCATTTTAAGTTCAACTTTTCCAATGAATAGGTAATATTACAACATTAGTATCACGTATCACTAATTCTTAGAACCAAGAAGAATTACTCTCTATGACCTCTAAAAAGGGCACTATTTTAAGACCTTTTTGTCCCAAAAAACAATCAATTTTCAACCCCCAAAAGAAAAAAAAACTTAATTTCATTGTATCCAATATTTTTACAGAGTATTATAGAAAGTAGTAAAACAAGCTGACTTTTCCATAAAAAATACACTCTTTAAATCAAAAAAGATTATGCCCAAAAAATACTATTAATACTAGTTTACCTTTTCATCAAGCTCAACTTGACTTTTCTCTTCTACCAACTGTTCCAATTCATTTTGTACGGTCTCTACACTTTGCAAAGCAGAAGCTGATTTAACTTTTTCTTCCCTGATGGCAGCCAATCTAAACTGTGCACTGTTGCGATCGTTTTCCATGTACCTCTGCTCTTCCCTTAGCTTTTCTACCTCATTGTGCAAAGACTCCCTGGGCCAATTTAAGATTGGAGGAGTAATTATAAAGCTGCTGACTTTAATGCTCGCATGCCATCGCCATCACAAATAAAAGACCAAGAAATACACACTGCTTAAATTGCAGAGTAGACAAGCAAATATACCTCTTGGTCTCCAATGCGTTCAACTCTGATTGGATTTCCTCTATGGATTTGACACCCTGCCCACGGGAATCAAGCTTGTATTCCAAATCATCAACCTCTCTTTCCAAAACTTGTATTTCAAGTAAAAGCCTTTCAGCATTTTCAACAGGTTGACTTAGGGCATCCACTAAGCCCTTGTCTTCTTTTATCTGAGCCATGACACACAACACCTGCCGACGAGGTAACCAGAGTCAAGTTTACTGACAAAATGTACACTTTCAAGTACTCAATGTTTTATCGAAGTGTTACGAAATGCCACAGAACTCTCTTTGCATATGAATGGAAGAGTAATAAGGTTAATCTGAATCTCTTTATTTCTTCACAAGGAACAATGTGTCCCAAAAGGAGTTATTATTGACAACATTTCCTGTAAATTTTTTTAAATTACAATGTTACATTAAACTCTCTCTGCTTCTAACTTATTATGAAATGTTGGCTAGTAAATGCCGCAATGCAGTTAGGGTCAAAAAGAGAGTTACATGGGATAAGGTAGTGTACATCTTGACTCCCCACCCAAAGACACCAATGAAGTTTGGTTTGCATTAGGTTGTAAAGTTATTGGTGCAGCTGAACAATTGAGGTTCATATGAGTTGAAATCAAAAAATGTATTGCTATTTCATCACATCGTTGCCATTCAAGAAGTCTAAGGCTCAACTTGTTTAAAACAAATCCCAAAGATTGTGAAAACATTTAATTGTTGGCTGCATAATATGCAAATTGTGTTGCCTGCCTCTAGGCCCTAGAACTAGAAGAAGGTATTTGGGAATTGCACTTTCTTTGGTGGTGACTTTGGCCTCATACGGCCATCAGTTTTGAGGGGAGCCTTTGCGCTTTAGAAATGAAACATTGCCAACAGCTGCTTTTTGCAGCTGTTGTTTTCCCCTAGCAAGGACTCCCACTTTTCCAAAAATATTTTCAAGATTTTCTAAAATACTACGGGGTATCTACTTTTTAACTTGAGTATTTACCTACTTAAAAAATACCATTCCAGTAATTATACATCACAACAGCATCAGCTCAAATGAACACCAAATCTAAAACTTCTCAATGGCCATTTTTACAGCAACAGCTGCAAATAGATGAATCCAATGCACCCTTACTCTTTTCAGTATATACAGAAGTAAGAAACACTGATTTGTACAATCAAATTATGAATGGCACTTAAGAGAAGTGGAACTAATAAAGTAAAACCATCTTTTTACTGAATTGAAGTTTCGCAAGCTTAGGAGAATGAAGCACATTTTTACAATCAAATAGTGTTACATCTTTTTACCAAATTGAAGTTTTGCAAACTTAGTGTTTCATGAATGTAAAACACCTTTCTAAGTTGAAAAAAAGGCTGTAGAAAATGGTACTTCACTTACTTTCTGGTACAACCATTGGAAAATATACTAACCAATTCTCATTGAGTAGAGGACATAAGAAAGAAAAAGAAAGCTTTGAACTCATGATGAAATACTACAAGACTGGTGAAAAAATGTGAACAGTTACAAAGACGCGGTTTATTTTGTTCATGAGAATTCATGCTTAGCAAGCTCAAGCAGCCTTCAACGTCAATGGCAAGCTAGGAGCTATGATGAAATACTACAAGACAATTGAGAAATTGTGAGCATATAAAAAAAGGAAAATTTGTTTCTTAAAGTGTATTTATAGTTTCATACATAATTAGTTCGGGCAGGCAGGTAGCGTACAAGTCATGTTGATGTGTGGTACTGTGGTGTTAACATATGTTCTATTTTAGAGTAGGAATACTTTTTTGTCCAACGCCTCTCTCTTCAGTTTCAAAAAAGTTCAAGCTATTCATCATAATTGTTCTCTATAATTTCATAATTTTCATCAAAAAATATAATCAGGAACAAAAGTGAAACAAGAATAAATGGTGCCAAAGTGAGAGTGCAAGACATGTAGTTCCTAGAATCTAGAGCAAAATTCATGAAGGTGCTAGTTTTAAGCATTAAGCAAAAGTGCAGCACTACAACTGTACAGCATCCGAAAAGTAAATTAACAGATACCAGTGTGATAAATTACATCATCAAGAGCTTGGTTTTTTGTCTCCAACTCTGTGTTGAGCTCACTCAACTTCTTCTCTAATATAGGAATTGATTCCTCTCTAATTTTGATGTACTCTTTATAAGTCACATTGAGATTGTCTAATTGCTGGAACTGAGAATCAGCTCGTGAAGACTCCATGGCCAATTGATTCAAATGCTCAGCAGTGTTTGCACCCTTCACCCGTTGCTGCAATGACAATTAGAATTCAAGTGTCTTAATTCCGCTTGGAGTAGCGACACAAATATAACATATATTACCAAGAAACATGGATAAAAATGACACTTCATTCTCAACTATAATAGACTGCAATTTGCAAAGACTTAACCTTTTTAACAAAATCATCTTCCTCTTCAGCAGAGAAAAGGCGCTCACAACATGGGCAAATATGATGATTGCGAGCATAATTTTCAAATGACCCAAACATTGACTGCATACCACCTTCATGGTAATGTTTGCTGCATTCAGTATATAACAAAGTATTTGCTTAAGGTGCAAAAAAGATTTTTCATTTATTAAACTGAAAAACCAGCAATGGCAAACCTTTTCAGGGTCTCACTTTTCTCCTTCACCGAATTCCAAAGTTTAAGGTAAATGTCAATGCTAGTGGCCACTGGGTCAATCAACTGGAGTTTTGATTCAACATATCTTTTCTTTGCTGCAATTGAATAAAAAATGCATAATGTATGAACATGTAAAACACAATAACTTTCAAAATATTAAGAAAATGTTAAGAAAATGCGGATAACAAGTAAACCATGCAAATTGCAACAAAAAAAAGTTCTACAACAAAGGGCCTAAAAGGAAAAAATGCACAACAACCATCTTCCATGACTTAAGTGGTGGAAAAATACGCACAAGACTTCCTCATTAACACAAAAATAAATCCCAGAAAGGTAATGCTTTTGTCATGCAACTTGGCTACATGCTTCAATCAATATTTGACATGTGTAAGATATGATGGAAAGAAACTATTACGTAGTATAAGCTAGTAAGCGAAAATATGTTAACACAATCAATATTTGGCATGGGTGAAATATGATGGAGAGAAACTACTATAAGCTAGTTTGTGTGTGTATGCATCAGATCAAGAGTGTTGTGGAGGTATTGATTACATTCTGCTTCCTTGTTAATTTTATACAAGTTATTGTTAGCTTCTTCAATTTTCATCTGCACCATATTTAAATCCTTCTCTGCTTCACTAGCTTTTGCACTCAGGTCTTCAAATTCTGTGTGCATAGTCCTGCAATAAAATTTTGAAGGGAAAATAATATATGCAATAATGCTTCCACATAGAACCAAAAGAAATTTAAACAGATGAGATATGATGCACTAAACATTTTAAGGCAATGGGACATTGATATGGGTAGAACCAAAAATGAGAAGCATGCAGAACTTGAAATCTACAAAAATAAAAATGACAAAATGACATGCCTATAGAAGACCTCATCTCCTCTGTCATTAGCAAAACTATATTAGTTTTTTAATAACAATTTCAACTACCACGAAATATAGTTTTTTATCAGTTGCATAAAAAGTGGGAGATGCAATATCAAACAAAAAGTGTCAGTACATAGATCAGTGAACTGCTTACAGAAATCATCTTAATGCCCCCTCCATCTCTAAATATTCTTCACTTTTACTATGCACAAAGTCAAACTACTCCTTTTATCTACTTTAATCAATTACTTTCATTTTTAAAAACTAAAAACTAAAAGTTCTTACTACATTAGCTCATTCATCTACCTCCCTACTTAATTACTCCCTCCGTCCACATTTAAAGTTCCCGCTTTGACCGGGCACGGAGTTTAATAAAAGTTAAAATTTACATTGACTTTCCTAAAATGCCCCTCAACCCTACCCACGCCCCAGTCCATATCCACTGCCTAGGCCTGTCCCAAGTTCCTGCCGCTCAACCCCATTGTTCCACCAGAGAGAAATTCCGGCGATCGAAATCCGGTGAATTTCCGACCAGTGTGGAATTCCGGTGACCCAAACTGAGCATTTTGTTCCTGCACTAAGGTGTAAAAATCGAAGAGATAAGGAGATGAATAAGATGGAAAAGATCTGAAGACGGTTCTTCGATTCACAGATCTGAATCGGTTTTCTCAGATCTGATGAAGAAGAAGAATAATAGAAAGGATAAATTGAAAGGGGGAAGAAGAGGAAAAGAATAGAAATGAAAAACCAAAAGGGGAAAGAAGAGGAAGAAGAAGAAGAAGAAGAAGAAGAAGAAATAAAATCGGAAGGAGATGAAGATGATGAAGAAAGGAAAATTCAGAATGGGGGAAGAAGAAGAAAGGAAAAATCTAAAGAAGAAGAAGAAGAAAGAAAGAAAAAATCAGACGGAGGAAGAAGAACAGAGAGAGAGACGAAAGAAGAACAAAAGAAAAGGAGAAAAAAGAATCAGAAGGTGCAAACAAGAAAAAGGAAAAAAAAGAAAGAAAAAAAAGGAGAGGAGAGGAGAGGAAAAGTAAAAGATAAAGGGTAATTAAGTCTTTTTACTAAAGGAAAGTTGCCAAAAAAGAAAATGGGAACATTATTTGTGGACGGCTTAAAAAGGAAAGTGGGAACTTTAAAGTTGGACGGAGGGAGTATCTTGTTATACAACAATAATACTCCCTCCGTCCCATATCTTTCTTCTCACTTTCCTTTTCGGGACGTCCCATTTGATTTTTCCCGTTTCCTTATTTGGCAAATAAAATTTATTAAAAAGACTAATTTACCCTTCTTCATCTTCTCTTATTTGCGACCAATCAGACCAGCCCCACCCCCACCTCCCCCCCCCCTTTCTTTTTCTTTCTCTTTCTTTCTTTGATCTGTTTCTTCCCCCATTTCATTTTGTGTTTTTTCTTCCGTAAAATACACCTCCCCTTCTTTCTTTCTTTCTTTGATCTGCTTCTTCTTCTTCTTCCTTTTCTTTTCTTCCTCTTCTTCTTTTTATTTTTTTCTTCTACCCTAGCTTCTACGTTCCTTCTTCGCCACACCCCCTCCCGACCTTGTTTTTTCCTAATTTTTGTCAAATTGCAAAGCTAATCGATCAAATCATAAGAAGCTTTTGATAGATCTGTTCAAGAAGGGTTGATTTGTTCTGGGGTGGCGATGATGAGAGACAAAAAGGGGCGACGACGGCGCGGGAGACGAACAAAGGGGGCGATTGAGTAACAATCGTAGACCTGTTTTTTATTTCTTCATCAGCTCTTCACCTCTTTCAATTAGTCACAACTCTAAATTTGATTTTCTTGAGTGTGAAAAGAATCGATTTTGATTTGGTTTTGAAGTTTTGATTTCATTATGTAATTTGATTATGAATTGAAGAAAAGATGGAGTGATTGAAAAACATGAAAATTCAGGGGCAGGAAGTGGGTAGCAGGGAGAGTCTAATGTGAAGAGGAAGGGCAATTGTGGAAAGTCAATACATGTTTCATCTTACATTAAAACCCGTGCCAAGTCAAAACGGGAAGTTTCAACTTGGACGGAGGGAGTATTATTCTAAAAGGTCAAAGTTGGATTAGAAACAACAAAAAATGAATTTAAAATTTATATGTAGTTTTATACTACCTCCGTCCCACTCTCTTTGTCCACTTTTGACTTTTGGAACTGTTCATCTAAGCACTTTGACTCATCAAATTCTCTCAATGTGTAAGCCTAAATATAGTCATGTGTGATCTTGTTTGATTTGTCTTAACATATAGATTATTAATATATAATTTCTATAATTTTTTAATATACAAATTACAAGATAAAATGGATTAAAGAAGTGCATTGGATGGTGTGCCAAAAGGTAAGTGGACAAAGAGAGTGGGACGGAGGGAGTATTTAATAAGCTTTATTACTCTATATGTTATTTCCATCATCTCCGATGGATCCAAAGATTCACTATTTTTTGGCTTTGGCCTATGACGGAAGAAAGCAAAACAACTTTTTAAACTGTCTGCTTCTTTTAATAGTGAAGTAGCAATAAGTCTATGCATCTTTTGACGCTCATCATGGCTCATCAGGAAACAGCCGCTCTATGTTTTAAACATAGGGCTCATGCTAGGTACGTGGTGCTTGAGTCGGGGGTCTCTTTGGAAACAGCCTCTATAAGTAGGGGTACCGGATCTGCGTACACAAACCCTCCCCAGGCCCTACATTTGTGGGATACAACTGGGTTGTTGTATTACTCAGGCTTGGCCAGAGTGGAGCTGGGAGGTTAGGGGGTAAGAATCATTAATTTTATAAACGGAGCATCCTAGATGCTTCAATTGGAGCCGGTGTCATCCATTGACACTCATTCAGTACACCTGAATAATGTGGCCCTTTAGAGTTATAAATAAATCAATTTCATAAGTTGAGGCGGACTCAAGACGGATGTAGCAAAATGGATTGCTATTTAAACTGGTTCAATTCTCGTTGTTTGTGGAGTATAGGAACTGGAAACATACTGTTCTCTCATTCTCTATTTCTTACTAGAGTGACTGGGTTAAGGCTGCATTGATATTATCTTTTGAAAATATTCATCAAGATAATGCATTACACAAGTGTCAAGGCATATATAGATAGATATTATCCATATATAGATAGATATTATCACTGTGAAATCCCATGTTTCAAATGAAACTAAGCTGTTCTCATACAGTAGGTAATCGATGACAGTGCTGCACGTTTACTGAATGAGTTTCACTATTTGAAACGAATCTATACAGATGGGTGTCAAAAATGGTTGAGAGACGGCTATGTGCTTAAGGTACCATACCTTTGTGCTACCAGACTATTTGACTTACTCGCTAGTGGAGGTACGCCAACTCAATAGCCTCAATAGTCAATTCGATACACTTAGTAGGTAGAAAGCTGCAAAGCCAAGGTACGGAGTAAGGTAAGGTTCCATGCAATGCTATAGAATACAATAATCATCCTATGAAAAAACTATGTTATGAAATCATCAAAGTTTTGAGATTTTTCAATCAAGTTCAAGACTTCGGTGTATTCCAGCACGACAAGGAGGCATCATCTTCTTGTACTTCCTCGAAAATGAATAATGAAGGATCTGTTAACAGTAGTAGTAGTAATAGAGATGTTGTTGCAAATACTCATTCCCATCATAAGGATAATTTAGGCAAAACATAGTACCTATGAACATAGAACCAGAGATTGGGTTGAACATATTTTACCGGATTAGCCCATGGGTGCCGCATTACCTGTACAAGGAGCTTGTGCTTGCCCCCAAGGAGCTTGTGTTTACGCCCAAGGAACTTGTGTTTATTTCAGTCTAAGGAAATACTCCAGCTTGGTGTGTGAATCATCTACTTTAGGGAGAGGACTCCGTTTGATACTATCAAACTTCACTAATGATATGAATCCAACAAAAGTATTGGTGGAGTTATTAACAGAAGGTCCAGGGTATTATGGGCGCTACTTAGCACTAGTCATACTGGGTGTAGGTTGTACAGTTTTGTATGCAGTTGAACCCACCTCTACCGCTAATGAGTCATTCCGAAGTGGGGGAGCGTTCTTTGCAGGATCACGCATGAGAAGTTTATAAACTTAGATTACCAACATCCAGGTTATAGGGTTGCAAAATATCTCCAGACTGGCAAAACTTCCAATATCTCGTTGGCAGTGGAGTCAGTTATGAAACAAAAGACAATCATAGATCTGGACTTGACTGGAACTAATGCAAGTAGACAAGTGCTTACGGCTGCTGAGTTGGGGCTCATGCTAGCATTAGCTGTAGCTTTGGGTGTTGAGCCTACTGCTTCAATAGCTATAGCTCAATAGCAGTCATTCAAAACATAATTAACATAATTATATACATATCAGACAATAACAATATTAGAGCTGAGGTCTGCATACAGTTTGTCCCCCCAAACCCTACTCTCGAGTGGGATATACTAGATGATGTGTTTGATTTGGCCTTGTTTGAGGTTCATTTGAGGAGTTAGGGTTGATCCCTGCTTTTCACATCTACTTTGTTGGATGTTCTCATCGGGACATTGACCACTGGCGGGCGTTTATGTTGGCTTCGGCAAAAAAGTTTCTCAGACCACAGGGGAAGGGGAATGTCGCTCTTAAAAATTGCCCGCATAAGCATTTTCATACCCTTAGGCCTTAGGTACGAGCGGTTTGTGGTGCCTAATTCAGTAGTGGTGGGCTAATGGTTGAACTAGTAAAGATCATATCTACCTGCACTTATCTAGATGTCGTAAGCTCGTAACGATTGTGTTTGTGGTTAAAAGGCACATGTACGTACATGTGGTTAAAGAGTACCCGTCGGTCATTGCAGTTCATGGGATGCGTTGGTACTTGCACTTGAAGACTTTAGCACACGTGTACCAACAATTTGTGGTGCCCTAATCTGGCAGTGGACCGGTAAATACCAATTCCACCTGCACTTTTTTGAGTGCCTTAACAACCGTGTCTACGGTTAAGAGGACAGTTAAAGGGTACCCGTCCCAGCCTACGGTTTGGGTATACATCTCTACCATCATTTGTGGATTATGGTACCCGTTTTCTACCAGCAATCTCATAACTAAGGACTGGCCACTGGCCAAAAGTGGCAATGGGCAACTTTCTTGCAAGGGTTTGGCAACACGAGAGGCTGTTTTGGTTCTCCGTGGTGGCTGGTGGCGGCTGAGGACACTGATATACCCGTGTCAACTTCTCTTTTTGATGGATTTTTTTTGGAATTTGGATTTCTGGATTTCTCATCTTACTCTTGCACAGCATTTGGCCCCACACATTCTTCCTCACCCTCGTCATAATCGATACATGTTTTAGCCATGGTTTTTTTCTTACGGTGGCATTCCCCCTACACTACACCTTGGACATTTAGATCTGCTTTTGGGATGATATATTTTTTGTTTGTTTACGAGTTTTGTCTCGCACATATCTTATTTTCATTACTTACGAGCATGGAGTATGTTCCTGCTCGCACGACTTGTGTATTTCTTTATTTAACCTAATGCATTTAATTTAAAAAAATGTTTATTATTAGTTACATGAATTTTTGTAGTCATATTTAGGAAAATCAGCTATCTTTTAATCCCATTCCAATAAATTCTCTACTTTTTATTTATAAGAAACCAATGGTTTGGTTTCAAGTTCCAAAGCACATAAGACTAAGATCTTAAATTTGAATAAAGTCAAAAGACTATTTTAAGTTTTAAAAAAAATTGGAGTTTGGAGTTTTGAGGGTACCGTCTAGATTACTCAAATTACAAATTAGAATTGAACAGGCCAAAGAGTGATTCTAGAGTAAATTCTAAATGCCCTAAAAATGCAGATTCACTTGTTATAAGCATGTGAACATGATCAAGGATATGAAGCTACAAGGCCCTCATAATCAAACTTAACGACAAATGTAAAGGGTCAAGAAACCCAATACACCTTAAGAAACATAGATAATACATTAGATACTCAAAATTAAATATAAAGAGAAGAATTTGAAATTTGAAGCGTACCGACTACAACTATCAGAAGAGGAAATCAAGGGATTAACTTACCTCTGGACCTGTGTAACTTCTTTCTTCAAATCCTTGTCCTGAGGAAGCCTTCCTTTCATCACCACTTTAATTTTATCCTTGTATTCATCAAGGCTGTAGGAGATGAATTATCAGTTATGATATTTACTATAAACTATTGAGATAAAATTATATTTATCATAAACTGCTGAGATAAAACAGCAGGGGGAAAGATTGTATGTGATACAAAGTCACTCACATCTTCTTGTGTTTCTTTTTCTTAGTTTCCAGTTCCACCTTCTTAATCGAGAGTTTAACTCTGTCCTCGGAATCAGCACTTATACGGTCTCTTTCATGTTTAAGGTCATTAATTTTTGGAGCTAAGGTGTATATCTCACTCTGCTTTAGCATAATGCATTTCCCAAATCCTCGTTCTTCAATTTGATTATTCTTTTTCTCACAATCCGCTTGCTGCAATGCCAAAGAAAAAATATAAGGTCTGAACTCTGAAGCTTTAAGAATAGGATTAGACTTGAGCTGAGACATCAAACCAATTTCTGTTCCCTCTCGTCTAGGTGAGCCAAATTAACATCTGATATTTCAAGTTCAAGCTTATAAAGCAAATTCTTCTTCTCTTCAATGCGTTTTAAAAAGTCTTTCTGCATTGAACAATAAACATAGCTATTATAATGAGAAACCCAAAAAGTAGTCATAACAAGAAACAACACAAGCATCACATGTGTTAGGGGCAAACCTTGGTATCTACTTTAGCATTTATCTTGGCTGACATATCATTCCAACGGCTATGTGCATTCTCATACTGACTCCATACTGATGCAGCTATCACTGAGTTTGATTTCTAAATGCCATTAATGCAAGCAAATCTTGTCACAGAGCATAAAGTAATAGATCTCGAGTGAAAAGGGGATGTCATTGAAAAGGTGTTGAACACTGTACAAGTAAGGGCCAGTAAAGAAGTATAGAACAAACAACACCAGAGAAACGTCCAGCCTTCACACTCAGCCCTTGCGCTCACCACTTTTTGCAAGTTTCTCCCTAGGTTATAACCACCAACCAGTTGAAATATCAAGCATACACCACGACCCACAATTGGTCAGATACCCACTGGTTCCAACACAATATTGACAAGTTAAATCTCACATAATAAATTTCTAACCCTTGTAGTTTGGATTTAACTTTTATTAACATTTCTAATGTTTCAAACATTTGAATGACTAAACAAAAACATGATTTGTACGGGGTATTTGAATAAGGAATCATATAGAGAATTACATAATTCTTTGATTGATTAAACTAATTCTATATAACATGTAGATTGCATGCTCACTAATTATAAAAAAGGGAAAATATTAATTGCTACCTTAAGGAAATCGATAAAGAAAGAAGTACATGGTGATCTAAGCTGTAAAAAGTACTGATTAAAATTGGAAACGCAAAGTGCTAAAGAATGCTTAAGAAAAGACTAAAAATGAAGGGTTGTTTGTATATATTATTCTTCGAGAACATTTTTAAATTCTTAATTTAAAGCCTTCTATAATGATCATAATTTTAAAATTAATGTAGAATCCCTCACCACCAACTCAAGCTTTTAGAATTGAAATGAACCACATCATTTAATATGACATTGATGCAATTAAAAATTCTAAACATTATGTCTAACGGAGAATTCATCATCCATATATTTCCATTTGTTTGCCTATTAAAGAGTAAAGACACATACATGAGAGATAGAGTTGACAAAAAATTTAATTAAACAAAAAAAAATTTCCCAACATTAATTTGAAGTGAAAACCGAAAATATAAATCCTTCGGTTCCACAAAGGTTTCTGACCTAAGAAGAGTTGGAAGGAGGCTATTAAACAGAACTTAAGACTTCTTGCCCTTACTAAGGATATGACCTTAGATAAGAGCGTTTGGAGAGCTAGGATAAGAGTAGTTGGGTAGGCCCTTTGGGCTAAGTGGTAGTTTTCTAGACTTGTTGTGTGTTTTGTATGCCTTATGTGCTTGGTGATCTCTGTTTGCAGTACTTTTCTTTCGTTAACATTACTTTGTCCTTTGCCTTTGTGTGCTTTTGGTTTTATATGTGCTTTCTCTGCTTTTATATGTATCTTATGAGATCTTTTATTACTATTATTATCTTTTAGTATTTTTGTTGCATGAGCCAGGGGGGTCTCTTGGAAACAAACTCCCAACTTTTGACTAAGGGCAATGTCTACCTACACACACCTTCCCCGGACCCTACTCTTGTGGGATCCAATTGGGTTGTTGTTGTTGTACTCTTTTGATAGCCCCAAAATATTCTCACATTTTCCCTTTACCCTTTTTGGAAAAGTATATGTGGTTCATAATATTTCTCTCTTCTAAACAAATTCTAACCACATTTTCCATTGTTCAACCCTTTACTTAATCTCCCTGAAGTCAAAGTGGGGAAATATTTTTTAGGATGCGGGCAGTATTATTATGACTTCTCATGATGTATTCTCTGGGGGTGCAGGCGGTATTATTATGACTTCTCATTGTGTATTTTCTGGGATGCATGCAGTATTATTATGACTTCTCATTATGTATTTAATGGGATGCAGGCAGTATTATTATGACTTCTTAGTGTATACACATGCATAAAATATGTAGACATAGGTTCATATCAAGTGTTCTACACTAAACAGTAGCCTAATAAATAATAATGCAATCATGGTTGTTAAGTCGACAAGTCGAGTCGAGTCGGTGACGGGGAGACTAGTAGACTAGGCTATTAGTCGTAGATTAGTTGCAGACTAGTCGACAAATCACAATTAGTATTGAAATTTTTAACATTATATATATCTACATTAACCCAACATGAATATATATATTTATATGACAAAATACCATAACCAAAGCAAACTTATGTTTAAAGACAACACATAAAGCAAATTTATGTTTAAAGATGTAGACGGAAGTCAGGGAACTGCTGGAACTGGAAGACGTCGCTGATGGAGGAGAGTCGCGACCCTGGATTGACTGCCAATTGGATGGATTGCGTCAAAGGAGGCCGTGTTTTATCGGAAATTTTAAATATTAATGAAATTTGGGTCGGGTCGGGTCAACTTGGGTTAGGTCAAATTAGGCAATTTCTTTCAGCAACTAGGCGTCGCCTACGCGCGACTAAGCGTCACTTTGCACGCTTTATCACCTAGTCTGCCCTAGGCGCTAGTCGAAGAGCAAAGCGTCAGCCCAAAACCGCCCGGACGACTAGTCGGCGACTAGTCGTGGCCTAGGCGACGACTTGACAACAATGAATGCAATGCAAGAAACAATGCTTACTAAACTATAATAGCATAATTAGCCTCATTAGAGTCTTGGACCCATAGTCATGATAGGTGAAGACGAAGAGGTGAGGTATGTGCTCCTGATATGCTCAGGCAAGTGAGCTCTGTGAGCACTGTGTGTGCTTCTTCTCGTGTTGAGGGGTTAGTCACTTTACCACACAAGTTCCTGAATAATTCCATGTGCTATACTAAATACATAGTAAGCAAAAAAGTTAATAAACTTAGCCAATATTCGAAATTGCATACTGCGGTTTTGAGACATTTTTATGTCAAGGCGTAATGCATAAGCCTCAATCTTAAAGTTTAAAATTGTGCATTTAATGTTTTCAAAGATGAAAACTGAACATTATTAATAACATTACTATTCTATAAACCTTTAAAAAGTATATTGGCAACGTAAAATATCTCAAACAGACAAACACAACAAAATCTAGCATGAAACAACAAAACATATTCAAGTTCGAAAGACAAATTAGTAACAATAAAAATAAAAAACAATAAATTAATGACAGATTAGTAAGAATAAATGTAAGCTTTAAAAATATATAAATGGGTAAAAAAGAAACGGTCTAAAAGAAAACCAAATAATAATAAACAGTAAGAGAAGGGATAAGGACTAAGGAACACACAATGAGCCTTAAAAAATTTACTCCATAAAACAAACCTTAAAAAAGATGTGAGACAGGGGGCAGGTAAAAACAAACACAAACGAGTAAATCAACTTACGATGCTCATCAAAGACAATAAGCGATGGAAAAGCAGCTCTGCTAGGAAGATCAATGTGATGGAAGAGAGATGAAAACGGTAGAGGATAGGCGATCGAGTAGGGTTAGAATCTATTCAGGTAATTTAACTTTTAGAATTTTGTAATTAAATTTTTAATTTAACCCTAATTTTATTTTTGGGGAGAAAAAATGGGGTACGCTATTCTACGCCTCAGTGCACACGCCTTAACGCTTACGCAATTACCCGCCATATCTGCACAACCTTTATTGCTTAAGGCTAGATCGCCATAGGGCGTAATCTTCTGGAAAATGCCATGAGGCACGCCATATGGCGGGTTACACCATGAGATTTTGAACGCTGAACTTAGCAGCATCCTCTGATTCCTCAAACTCAATGATAACTGCTTCCCCCACCGTCACCGTTGTCCGCAGCTCAGCGACTCAGGTTACGAAGTTTTCCCCTTCGTCTTCTTTTGATATTCTTCATGCTTAGGTCTTTTGAATCTTTACAACAACCACAACAACCCGGTTGGATTCCACTAGAGTAGGGTGTGTGTACACAAACCTTACCCTACTCAAAAGTAGAGAAGGCACCTTTTGAAGCTTTATATTATCAATAATCATTTTTTTGGTTCATTTTGAGTATAACCATGAAATAGTTTAGTTTTGTAATATTAAATATGTTTCGCCTCTGCTTTTTCCTTTGTTGGTTTTGACTTTCAACTTCAACTACTTCATTAATAATAGCTTAACATCTATGGTGTGTCATGTGTGTCTGCTTGAAAAGTACCTCTGCCTGCCTCTAACCTTTCATAACTAGGTCTTGGATCAAAAAGGGTTTCTCCCATCTCAGTGCCCCTTACCAAATACATGGATAAAGTTAAACACTTTGACACCCTTCTATATTGACCTGTTTGGAACAAGTAAAAATCACCTTTTTACCCTCCAAATCCTTTTGGTAGTCTGCAAGTCTCGATCTCAAGCGGTTCATGAGGTTCAGAGCAATTTCATCGCTGAATTGACTAGTTGAAACAGGACCTACATTATATCTTTCAAAAAGTTCCTTGATAGATGTGTCTCTCTGATTCTTGTATGCCCTGTGAGTCTAAGCACCAAAAATGAAACAAACAACAAAGCCAATTACTTCAGTAAGAAACTAAAAAGATCAGTTATCAACTTCTGTATTAGAGTCAAAGAAACTACATGAGCTTCATTTTCAAGCTTCAAGATCTCCCCCGTATAGCCTTTGATATCCATCTGGAGGAAAGAACGCTTAGACAGCAAGTCATCTGTTTCTCTACGCAGTTTGCTGATTTTTGACTCTAGAAGAGCAATCTTCTCATCGAACTTGGCTTTCCACTCCTGCAGATCTTCATCGGTGTCTAGAAGTAGAAACAAAACATAACAAAACAAAATTCTCTTCAAGGGGAAATAGCGAGTTAAATGAAACACAAATTCATTGTTTTGAAGAAGCGATATCTAAAACAGCATATTAAATGTAAAACAATCCTCAAATCAAAGTTAACATTGCAAGCATTGAAGTGCACTGTTTCTTCATCTTGTTTTTGAGAGGGAGTGCACACACAAGCTAGATCTGAAAAAAATCTAATTCTAGATACGGAGTATTAGAAAATGTAACGTCCTCATTTAATTTGAGTATAATAGGATAACTGGAAATAAATACTCCCTCATTTTCAAAAATTATGTTTCAGATACTTTTGTCCCCAAAAAACACCTGCTTGATGAAATCAAGCAAACTTTTTTGTGTAATATGTCAAAAAGTGACGAACATAAGTCATATACAAGCTATACATGATAAATTTCGTTAAAAAAGCAAATGATTTTAAACCTGCAAGCATGATTGATTATTTATGATGGCAGTACCTTACAAAAATTAAAAAAAGCACATTCATCATATAAGACACTTTTTTCAGACAGAGGTAGTTTCAAGAAATCTAACACCAGCACACCACAAACCTTCACTCTTAGAATCTAAAGCAGCTTTCTTTCTCTGCTTCTCTTGATACAAAGCACTTCTTTCAGCAGTCTTTGCAGTTATTTGTTCCTGTAATTTCCTTAGGTCCTCTAAAGTTCCTTTAACACAGTCGATCTTACTATCTAGGTCCTGGACCTCTCCCTCAAACACCTGAATTTCATTTTTCAGTTTGTTTGTCTCCTTCTGGTCTTGAGCAATGCATTCTCTTAACTACACCAAACACAAAACAAATTCAATAAGCTTTCATGAAGTGCATTCGCCTATTTTGACCTTTGAATAATTTTTTGAAATGTAACTCAAAATTTTGATTTAACATGTTTGAAGTAGGTCTTGACTAAAAAGCAACAGATGGGAGTTGATCATAGAATTTTGATTTACAATCTGGGTAAACAGGAGGCAAATTAGCACTAAGAAACCTTGTAGGCAGCATCTTTCAGCATTTGAAGATTCTCCAGTTTGAGTTTAAACGACTTTATCTCTTGTGATTGATCCTTGTGAAGTTTTTTAATAACCTCCAAAGCCTTTGTATATCTGAAAAGAAACCAAATGAACCAAGAATACAACATAACAGCAGCAAAACATTGTATTCCTAAGCAGTAATACTAAATAGAAACCAATGATTGCCCATTGGTTTATGAACTTATCTGCATGCGCAGAACTGAAGAACTGTTAGAAATGTCTAGACATATTGTTAGAATTATCCTTTAGCAACTTTAGATCTTGAAGCTAATCAAACATTAATTTGGAAAATAAAAAATTTGAAGAGTTGAATATAGAACTTATTAGGAAGAGGCTTAATTAATTACTCCCTCCATCCTAAATCTAACTTCCCAACCGGGGCTCATTTTTAAGGAAAGGTTTAAAATGCTCTGACTTTCCAAAAATGATACAAGCACTTTTCTTACACATTTGCATCTTCCAGATCAGAGCTGCCAAGCCAAGTTGCCACCATCTACAGCAACCTTCTCAAATATTTCTAATCAGTTTTTTTCATTTCTTCTACTCATTTCTTTAAAGTCTTGAAAATAAATCACAATGCTCTTTTTACCAGAAAAAGAAAAAGGTCTTATTACCAGAAACAGTTGGTCGGAGGTGAGAGAGCAGAAATTGTCAGTGCCGGAGATATTGCTCTTCTGTCCCTCATCTTGCCAGAGAAAGTGCTCAATCTGGAATCGGGTGTTGAGGAGATGCAAAGCAAAATTGGTAGAAATTTCTCACTGAAATTATTGCCGAAGAAGGAAAGAGCAAGAAAGGTGAAGGAAAACAGAAGAGGATGACAGGGGATGGAGAAGGGAAGAGGAAGAAAGGCGGTGGTGACGGAGAATGGGAGAGGAAGAAAATTGGGAGGGAGAGATGGGAGGGTGTGAGGATAAGTATGTGAAGGGCATTAGGGTCATTAAACATATTTGAATTTGCCTTTTTAAGTAATAGAAAGATACTTTTAGTTTTAGGACAGCTCATAAAGAAAAGTTGGAAGATAGTTTTAGGACGGATGGAATATATACTCAGTTGTCAATACAGCTGGGTATATTCAATTGTGTGGGCTGGGTGTTCAACAGTACAAGTCTCCGACTCCCCTTTTCCACATTAACTGTAATATTTTATATCATCTATTTTTAACTTCCAAATGCTATCTATAATATGTGCTTTCAACTTCAGATATTTGGACAAAAATGTGATATTAGTTTACTTATCTCATTAAAGTTGTTTAAAATGTAAAGTTTTTATACATCTTTGTAAATTTATGGAAGCCCAAATTCATATTTTGGAAGTTCAAAGTTAAAATTCTCAACTGTAATACAAGTGTTAATTTGGTAACTTTTCCTAAATCTTGTTTCATTTTTTATATTTCTTCTAATTTTGTTTTGTTTTCAATTATTTGAAATATGAAGAACATGTTCACTTTCTCAAAAAATAAGTTCTCTGTAAATGGGATTAATTTTGGTGTTCAGTTTCAAAGTTCAAATTTTAATCTAGTCTAGAAGAAAAAAACAGAATTTCAGAAACCATTAGAAACAATAATTGCTAGTTCTCATTTTATTAAAAAAATGTTTCAAATTTGGAAACTATATAAATATGGAACACACACTCAATATGTCCCAAAAATAAACCGAAAACATTCATTATTAGGTGTTCCCAAAATGAACTTCTCATTCTTTAAGCAACGCAATGAACGGTTCGTATTTCTCTCTCGTCTCTCCCCAAATAAATATCCTACTTTCCTTTTCGGATCAATCCATAATAACCGTCTCATTCCTTCAAAGGAAAAGATTGAATGGTTCTCAACTTCTAGTTATTTATCTCTCCTTTACATAAATCTTAACCTTATTATTTCACTTTTTCTTAAACTCTGAAAAAAGGAAAGGGGAAGTTTAATTTGGAGTGGAGGGAGAAAATATTGTGGTGGGGTTTATTTCTTCCACACACACAAAATGTGATAGGTTGCAGTGCATAAAATCCTCTCATACTACACCACACTCACCCACCCCTCATTGGGATAAGGAAATCATTTATCCAACGAAAAATTAATGAGCACTAAACTAACAAACCCTAATGAGAAAATGGCATCCGAGCATTTCATGATTGAAAACAAGTGTACCTAGTAGCAGAGAAAATGTCATCAAACTTCTTTTTCAGTGTAGACGGGTCTTGCAGTGGCCAATTGGCCTCATCTTGGTGAGCAAATATCACATTTTCAAGAATAGCCTTAGACACACCCATAAGAGCTGGTATTTCACGATCCATATCTGCACATCTATAACTTAAGCAAACTTTCTGCAATTAAACACAGAAAACCGATTCTGGATAAGTTAACCCTCATTAGAATCAACCCTTCAAAAAAGTATATTAATTATATTGAAGATTGAAGATGTAATTATTTAGTCAAGCAGAAACCTCAAAACAAGAAATATTGTTCTTGTGAGAGAAAATCACACAGGTTGCACCCCCGCACACATAATATAAAAACAAATGAAGGGGATGAGCAAATGTCAGAATGTATTTACTCCAATAAATAGTCAAATAGCTCCAATGCAGACTACATTGGAGAACTAA